TCGTGCTGCTCCTTGCGTCTTCCTTGGCTTCCCCCATGACGCGCCAGGGTGGCAGTTCTACCACTCTGAGTCATGGTCCTCGCTCATCATCAACCTGAATCGCGACCTGCCCGCCTCTCGCTTGAAGACGTGAAGCGAGCTATCCTTCAAGAGGATTTCCGCCGCCGTGAGTTGGTGAGTGCGGATGGCGCTAGGGCAGCGAGCATCGGCCGTGGATATGGTCAAGGAAGAGGTAGAGGACGAGGGGAGGAAGGTTTGGTGGCAGCAACTTCTGCGGAGGCTGCGGGAGTGGCGGTTGCTTCAGCGACGACAAGAGCTACAGACGCGGTCGCGGCCGATTCGACGGCGAGTGTCACTATTGCCACAAGAGCGGACACATGTGGCGCGACTGCTACAGACTCCCTGATGGTCGGACCCCTGCTTAAGGCCAAGAGGGTAGAGGAGCAGGAGGAGGGAGAGGAAGAGGTTGTGGAGGCCGTGGCGGTCGCGGTGGCGGAGCTGCAAACATGAAGAGCGGAGAACAACGACAAGGACCCGAGCAACGATCTGTACCCGGGTCTATTCTACTTCGTGTCCACGCAAGTACCGTCTGGTCCAGAGAAGGATGAAGGCTTTGAGGAGCCAGCAGCTGTGGGGAAGGTGACTCTACACCCTCTGGACTATTGGGTGATCGATAGTGGCGCTACCTATAGCATGACACCTCGCCCGGACTTGCTCACCGAACTCGAACCGTCACCGGTGAAACATGTGACACGGGCGAACTATGCGGCGTTCGAGAACCGAGGGATGACGCAAGTGATGCCCATTCTCATCGCTGACAATATGGACGGCTGCAAGCCGGCGGAGGTGGAGCAGCGGACGAAGGAGGTACGGGCGTTCCGGAAGTATGCAATGTTCTATAAGGCACTGGTAGGCGTCCCAAAGCACACGGAGAAGACGTTGCGTGATGTCCGCACGGCGGCCTACGCGTGAGTTTTGGGGGGGGGGGGGGGGGGGGGGTGGGGGGGGGTACGGGAAGGGGGGAATGGGGGCCTGGGGAGTGGGGCTGTCGGGGGGAGGTTGGCATGGGTGGTCGGGGAGGGGGGGAGGAGGGGGGTTAGGGGGGTTGTTCACGGTTTTGGGTGGTGACAGCGAGGTATGGAGGTGGTGTAGGGAGCATGAAGCACATTCCGCATGCGGCATGGCATCTGCACTGTCTCATGGGGATGGGTGGGTGCGTGCGGCTAGTTCTGAGTGCAGGATGATGGGCGCGATCGGGGATGCCTTTCCGGATCAGAAGTCCTCGTGGAACTTTTCGAAGGTGCACCAGATTGTGCACCTCATTGATGCCATTCCCCTCCGAGGGATGCCGTGGGAGTACTCCACCGAGCTGTGGGAGCACACGCACAAGGGAACGGTGAAGGTCCCGGTCCGGGGCAGCAACTGGAAGGACATTCCACGACGCATCGTTGAAGAAGAGGTGCAGCGAGAGATCACACGGGAGGTGGCCTCTCTAGCTGGGGGGGGGGCGTCAGTACGTCACCGCATTGTGCGAGGTGAGCAGACCACACCAGAGCTCTGAGATGGGGACATTACATGACCAAGTGAATGAGTAGGCGGAGATGGGACGTTGAAGACTGAGGTGGGCGAAATGCATGCAGCTTATAGCGGGTGAGATTTGGATGTGGTTTTGGGGTGTCGTGCTGTGGGATCGGAGACTGAATGGGGAGTGAAGCGTGTTGTGTACGCCGTGGTGACTTAACACTATTGTGTGTGAAGGGAAACCCGTGTGGTCCATACGGCAGGCCGTACGTCTTCAGGGGCACGTGCTTACGCGGAGGTCGCGGTGTGCAAACGTGCGGAACGAGGAGGACCCCGTTCTGTGGGTGTATCGCGAGGCTCTCGGTTCGGACATGGATGGGTTTGGCCGCTGTCTCGTGAAGGCTGGGGTGAACACCCCGGACATAAAGGTGAGATGACGTGGGGTGAAATTGCAGTGTTGTTGCAGATGTATGGTGTCAATTCAGCCGGTGTTCACGTTCGTGTCTGGGTTGTGGGATCTTGATGGCAGGAGTAAGTCTCATGACAATGGCGCTCTGATGCCCGTGTTGTGTAGGTGCACACAGCGCTGGCCATTTCGAGAACACGTGGACAAGGGCACTTTTGTCAAGGCTAGCCCATCGGAGAACTGGTTCTCTGATGTGGCGGTGAAGACAGACGAGAAGAAGGAGAAGGTCAAGGAGTGGTACGCTAGGTGCCTATGCGTGTTCCGTGCCAAGAACGCAGAAGGAGAGGAAGGAGCGTACGTGTATGTCAAGTATTATGAGGCGGCAGGGCAATGCCCAGTCACTACATGTCTGCAGCTGTCTCCTGGGCGGGTGGACACCAGGTACGCTGTGGTCGACGTGGAGTGCATCAAGCGGGTGGTGCACATATGCCGGTCCTATGTGAACAAGAAGGTGATGCTGCTCAACAAGTTCTTGCTGTGCGAGTAGAGGTTCTGGTGACATGTGGGACGCGCTCACGGACGTGCATTTTTTTAAGTAGAATAGTATTAAACCGTGATCATTGTGCGCAACACGTGAGTGTGAGGATGAAAGACACTGTTGTGTGGTGTTGATAAAGCGTAGTGTGCAATTCTGCACATTGCTTCGTACGTGGTGTGGTGCATTAGTGCACAGGGATGGACAACATTGTGGAATAGCGCGTATGACGGAAGCGCGAATGGTTGGGCGCAAAAGTGTTTTTTTTTTACGGGCCGCCCTTTGTGTTATAGGAGCGACGCGATGGACGCGGGAAATGCGCGGTCCGAGGGTCGATGTAGTTGGAATGTGAGCAGGGGGGACGGCGTCACATTTGTGTCACAAAATTTGTGGGACGTTTCTGGTGGGTTTGGGGACTTTGCGTATGGATTTCGGGAGAAAAACCCACGGAGGCCAAAATTGGCCGATCGACATTTCCGCGAACCTACACCTCCATCAGGGCGATGCTGCGCAAGGTGGGGTGGTGGGGAGGGGTGTAGAGTGGTTGGGAGCGGGGCTTGATCAAGGTGGACTGTTTTTCGGCCACTGTGGTGGTGCCGCGTGCCCAGATCTACAAGTCTATCCGGGAGCTGCGCAAGGTGAGTGGCTCAGCTGGAGAGGGGTGTAGAGTGGTTAGCAGGGGTCAAGGTGGATAACTTCTCTGCCACCGTGGTGGTGCCTCGCGCGCAGATCTACACCTCTATCAGGGAGCTGCCCAAGGTGGGGTGGGTTGGGAGGGGCGTGTGAGTGGGGCATATGAGATCGTTTTCAGCTGCTCTATCAACCATACTAACAGATCCAGTATGTCACACTGACGTTACGATGCCTCTATGTCAACTCTTTCTGTTCACCATGTTTGTTTCTTCAACGCAGGCCGGTGGAAGTGGAGTGCTGGTAACACCTGTTACATACATTTTCGATGAAGAGCCTCCACGTTGGAAGAAGCTCCTCAGCGAAATCGGTCTTTAAATCGTAGTTGACGCGCTTCAACCCTTCTGGGTAGCCATTTTTTATGTGATTCAAGTGGAACCAAAACTTATACTAGTTTATAACAAGATTGTCGGAGCAAGCTGAACTATTTGAAACATGGAACGCAGACTAGCCTTGAAGCTTCACACCCATATTTGAGGTACCATGGGTCAAAGGGTCTTCTTCCTACCTGGCAGAAGTGTTGCATACTCAGTATTCCGTTTCGGTTTTGAATGTTGCAAATTCAGTGCCAAAAAGGGTTCCGAGTGTATTGAGCACGTGCACGTCGTCTCCATTTGAGTCATGCAGAGGTAGTTTTCCGCCAGCAAGGCAATGTTCTACTCAGTTTAAGTTTAAGTTTTATAAAGGCCGTGACCCGATACAAGATGGAGCACAAGTATGACCTACACAGTCAAAGCCCATTGAGCCTATGCCAACCAGCATTACTTGTAAGCCTTGAGGCAAACACACAGAGAGAGCTGTGCGGCTACATCCCTGAAGTGAGGAAGTCAAAAACGGGTTACGGTGGTCGGAACGAATCGTTGGCCTTGTTCTTTTGGCCAAAAAATGGTCTTCGCGGATTTTTCCATCCGCACCAGTGGTGCGTCGGTTCAGGTTGGGCATTGTCCGAAGCTGGGCGCATCAAGAAAACCGAGAAACCTGCAGAACAGCACTTTTGTGACACTGTACCAGAACCGCCCGTTTGTTCCACACCATTTCCTCTTCAGGCAAATGGTCCGCACCACGGGTACTACCTCTCGAGGTGGAATCACCTCCGCACCACTGGTGCGGGGGCTGCCTAAAAATTTTCGCTTGATTCTTGTCTGCACGCGTCAATGCCCAATTTGGTTGTTACATTTTTGCCTGACCATCTTTCCGTTGGGCAGATACGATATTGGCTGAGCTGTTCAAACGAGAAGTTTACCTCGGTTATAACTGAACCTTCATCTATTGCCAAGTCAACCAAAAAGGCACCTGAAGTTAATACGAAATTTACCAACCCTCCAACGGTACGGCACTGAGAACTCCAACAGAACAGCGCCGTTGAGTAGCCATGATTCCTGCAGCGCTGGATGAATCGAAGGCACTCCAGCGTCATCGAACTTGAGCAGGCGCAGGGAGATAGCAGCAGTAACGCGATTTTTCGTGCGACGCTTACGCTTCTCTGACCACCACTTCCTCTTGGCGAATGTTTTCTGGCAATGTTCTACTCAGACAGCATTGACCCAGCGTGAAGACGTACAGCGCGACTATTTCAGCCAATGATATTCGGGATACGCCGTTGACTTGGCCAGCTCCGCCACGAAATGGCTAAGCCGTAAAAGTCTCCCAGCCAGCTGGAACTGACTCACACCGTGCTGGCACGCCATGTCGGCGCCCATCCAACCCCACACCATTCTTGCGTTCCCCCTACAGCAAGCAATTCAGATATACATCTGTCCGACCTTGTCCCTCCTCACCTCACACACAGCTTTCGCATTCACTTGTATTGTTTATTCGCGCCACTACAATTCCCAGCCTCGCCGTTCAAGCACTTCACAAACAGCTACATCGTGCTTCTCTCGCTGCTCTCCCAAACAAGCCACCTCAGTCTCTGTTTATTTCACCCCGTTGGAATACTTTCCGTGAGACCACACTCGGCGTCCTCCCGCAATTCCTAGGAAAGACCATACCTTGAAATGGCTCAGCAGCAGGTTCCAAACATGCAGGGCATGAATGCAGGGAGTTTCAACGCAGCTCCGCCGCCCCAGTCCCTGTACGCCGCTCCACCGCCACCCCAGTACGCCGCGCCAGCGCCTGCGCCAGCGCCGAGCAATTCGGAGGGGTGCTGCGCCAACAACAAGCGCTCCGCGCTTTACACGTGGCTCCCTTTCGGCCTTCGCATCGGCATCTTTTTCTTCTGCCTTGTCGCTTTCAGGTGCGCTTGTCGCTTGGATGAACTCAGCATCATTAACCTTTCTCAATCTCAGATCGAGTTCCATTCACCTCCTCACATTTTCGTGCTTATCGCCAGGAACGCGAGAGAATATTGTGAAGTTGCTTATCCCCCTCCTGCCCATATTTCTTATTTTCTTACAATCCTCTTCCCCTCGATTGCTCGGTTTTCTTTATTCTCCGCGGCAGTCTGTTGTTCGCGACCAAGGCGACAGTGACGTCGTACAGCGCGGGCGCGTTTCTGGTGGGAATGACGATTTTGGGGTTCATATTCGCCGTAATGCTGCTCGTGTACAACTCCGTGCGCATCTGCGTCGCCGGCTCCGAGTCGTACGACTGGATCATGGACATCGTGCAGTTCTTCGAGTCCTACGTGAGTCCGTTCGAGTCGTACGTGAATCTTTTGACATCGTGAGTTTTGAATCCTTACGAACCCTTGAGACCTACGCGAATCGTTCGTATCCTTGACGTGATGTCAGCCCATCGAATCATACGAATAAATGGTGGACATCGTGCAGTTCTTCGAGTCCTACGTGAGTCCATCGAATGGTCCTTTGAGACTCACGTGAGGCAACCGCGGTGCGCGCATACTCGTCCCGCGGTCCCAGCTGGACAGCCTAAAAAAATCGAGAGGCTGGACTCAAGTCACTGGCCAATCGAATGCCTGAAACATTCTCCAAAACCGATTACTGTGTGTACAAAAGATTTTTATTATTTCTATCCAAAATCCCTCGTTATTTGACAGATCATGTCGCTTCTGCTGTTCGCCGCCGCCACGTCAGGAGCAGCTGCGTGCAACACCTGGTGGAACACCGGCGCCTTGAACAAGTACGTTCGTCGTTCCCCTTTGGCGTAAAAACAGAGAAGCAAAGAAGCACAGATGAAACAGCAGGCTACAAGAATGTCCTCCGACCATCTATACGCAATTGAACAACCTATTAACCTACATTTTTAGCGACAACCTATAACTCTTATTAAATCACGTCTCCGTTTCCTTCTCCCGCTTTCCCTTGTGCAGTATGGTGCTTGGAGATTACAGCACCAGCGCAACCAAGGCCATGCTCGCCTCGCTGGGACTGAGCACCACACTCCCTGGATCGTTGGACTACGACTCTTATATTAATCAATACATTAATGACGCTAATGCGGACCTGGGCAAGGTCCGTGGTGCATGCGCCATGGCGTATTTCGCCGCCTTCACCTACATTGCAATGTTCTGGTACTACACCACCCGCATGTACAAGCGCGGTGTGCTCAAGGCCGTTGCAGATGCAGCGCCGGCAGCAGTCAAGGACAACGTTCCTCCTTACAATGTGTGAATTGAAACCCGTGATTGACATGTGATGGATTCTTCTCCTTGTTTTCGGTTGTATAACATATGCTGCTTTAGTGTACGCCTGGGTGGGGGCTGCTCGTTGTACTTCATCATCAGGATGGGGTTGTGTCACTCTTGGAGTTCCTCTGTTAGGGATTCCTAGGCTTGCAGAGCAGAACAAATGCTCTTGGGGGTCCTCTAGGGACCTGTTGCTTCCATCTCTGTACAGCAATTTTTCAGTATGAGTTTGTACTGAATGTTATGGTACGTTGCGCTCGCTATACATGGCATAATGAAACCCTGGTACCCTCCAATCTGATTTTGAAACTCAGCAGTAGTAGGTGGTATTGAGTATGTTGATGCCTGTTAGTCTTCATTGCTCATTCTTGTGACATGGGCCATGGCTCGCCATGGTTCTGGCGTGCTAAATTGTTATTTCCGTTCATTAATTGATCCCAGTTATGTTACCGCAGATGCTTGCCGACCTTTTGAGCGCATTCCTACGTGCTATCGAGTGCGGAGACCATGACGTGGCAGTCATGGACTGAAATGAGAACACGTGTGAACAAGTGTTCTGCTATCCACTATCCCACCACACATGTTCTCTACCCCCTATCTCCCATCCCACCACCCGTGTTCTGCTTTTGATTAGTTGATAAACGTATAAGTCGGCCCTCAAGACCTTAAGGTGCGATACATTGCAACCTTTGACATTCATTCTAAGTAGAGATACGGTTACGTTTGTTCGTTCGAAGGATCCTAATTATCACATGTTTTTAGGTAAGAATGCGGTTTATTTCACCCCGGTTGGAATACTTTCCGTGAGACACACACTCGGCGTCCTCCCGCAATTCCTAGGAAAGACCATAACCTTCATCGCGGAAATGCTAAGTCAGGAAAGTCACGGAAATGTGACTTATAAGGGACTTCTACGTAACCTTTTCCAGGTTGACGGAAAAGTCATGGACAGAAGTCCCCAGTTCGCGACGTTACCTATAGAGTCACTAACACTTCACCATTCCGTTCCGCATTTGTTTCGTAAACAACACATTTTCGTCACACGCAACGTTACATCTGAGTGACCATCGCGTCTATGAACAGTGACCCGGCGCACCACAACCATTACGTCACCATAACATCACCGGACAATGCCACTGCCACGTAGGCATCCACGTGGTGTACAGTTACAACACCCACGTTACATCCACTCCAGACGCAACTGAACGTACTTGCGTTTCTGAGCTGGCTACCAACCACTGACAAGCACGTGTCGTCCCTGCCACCCTAAACGAACCGTCACGCACCATAATCCAGCTTACAAGCGACCGCCAACAACGTTTAAGGCCCCCGCAGGCCTCGTTTTTCGTCGCGCTTAAAGGGCCCCGCTGGCCCCTCGTTTTCGTCACGCTCCAGAGGGACTCTCCACCCCCACCGCGGGGCCCGCGTAGTCCGTTCTTCAGCCCGCAGCAGCGCCGCGCGTTAGCCAGCGGCAGCCGCGCACGCCCTGCCAGCACGCACATTGCAGCAGCAGCGCGTGCATTGCTGCAGCTGCACGACTAGGCAGCAGCGCGTGCATTGCTGCAGCAGCGCGTGCATTGCTGCAGCAGCACGGCTAGGCAGCAGCGCGTGCATTGCAGCAGAAGCACGGCTAGGCAGCAGCGCGTGCATTGCTGCAGCAGCACGGCTAGGCAGGCAGCGCGTGCATTGCAGCAGAAGCACGGCTAGGCAGCAGCGCGTGCTCCTGCAGTAGCAGCACGGCTAGGCAGAACTAGCCGCCAGCAGCAGCTAGCCACCGGAAACCTAGCCGCCAGCAGGTTGGCGCCAGCTAGCACCTCCCACCCGCCCATAGCCCCTTTCAACCGCTCACAGCCCCTTCCAACCGCTCACAGCCCGTTCCAGCCGCTCTCGCGCGCACACCACCCAGGACCACCCGACCTCCGTTGGTTCGACACTCGCGTCACTCATACTCACAGTGTTTCGCACTGTCGCGGCTGGAGGCCGCTCTGCTTAGCTTTTTTAGGCTAGCCTTGACGTTCGTTGTTAGCTAGGTCTCTCCTCGCTCCGCCAGCCCCTCGAACGACTCTCTGGCTCCTCGATCGGCTCGTCAGCCCTGCCTCCTCCAGCCGTTTAACTAGACTTGGCGTTCCTAGCTCTGTTTTCCTCCGTGCTCCAGCAGTACTCCGCCGTTCTCTCTCCAAGCGCTCCCGTAGGTTTCCTCCTCGTTCTAGCTCAGCCTCTGCCGAGCTCCAACCGTCAAAACGTAAATGCATGGACGACCCAGATTTACCCCCCTCCTAGAAAACCCGCACACGTGCCCCCCTTCACACCGTCGATTTTAGACACACCCACGGTTTTTGGTGCACTCATCCCACGACAATCCACGGCGTACATCCAACCATCGTGCCAACACCGTCTCTCTGCATGGTGGACGACAACCATTGATGCAAGACGACATCAACGGCTCACAACCGAAAACGATGCGCACAAAATCGACGCCCTCACCCATCGCATTACCATCGTACGAGGAACTTCTGTACCATCCCACGCGTCTAATACGTCGCCTGTTCTCGCACCGCTGCTCGTGCGAGAGTCCATCCACGATGTACGATGCCCGGCGACAAACAACACCCATGACGTTATCACACATCACCACCGTCTATCACACGGGCCTCGCAGTGAATCCACGCGTAGCGCGGAGTGAAGCACCCATAGATCGCACCATCAATATTCACCCACTGAACACCCGGGCCGCGTTTCCACCTACCCTGGACGCACTGTTCATGCTTCTAGTACATTTTACTGCCTTCTCCGTGCAACTTATTGCGTCGGCAATTTGGTTCTGCTCTGCAACTAACGCATAACTTTCTTCATTGACCGCACATTAAACCATCACATAACCCCACCCTCCGTATGCGCTCGCCCACCAACAACATGCAACACTACACCAACACTTCAAAAGCTACTACCGCCCTATCCACCCACCCCCACCCCCTAAAGCCCTCATCTTCCCCAGTACTCTGACGCAAGATTGACCCCCCACTTTCATCGTGCAATATGGCCTGCTCTACGGCTAGGCCTCAGGTGAGGGACATGTTGTCCCTCTAGCCGTCGCTCTCTCGCTGTGTGCCCTGCTTGGCGGGCTCCTGCCTCTCAACTCCATCCGCAGGACAAGCGCAGCCCATGGCGGCCCCCACGCCCACGACGACGTCGTGGGTCGTACTGCAGCTGGTACTGCTCGATGGCAGCCATGACGTCCACGAGCGCGCACTCGCGGAGGCCGTCCACGATCTGCGCGTTGACACCCGCAGAGTTCGAGAGCCTGCCCTTGCGGGTGGTCCCAGAAGCGGATCGCGTCGGTCACCTGCGCAGACGAGCACCACACCAAGGAATATAGGCGCATTAGCATCCACAATGTGCATCCCTCCTCACGGATAACCACAGGCACAAATGGCTCCTTCTACTCTATGGATCGGCCATACTCACCACGTGTTCGAGCCACGCCATGTGATACAGCTTCAACGTCAGCGTCCCGTTCACAATCCGGGGCCTGAACGCCGCGCGGAGCGCAAGCAGCAAATGCGCCCGACGCAAATGGCATGCCGCGCCTGTCCTCGCTCCACTTGGAGATCACGAAGTGGTCTGCACAACAACCATCCGGCCATACGTGCGTCATTATGTTGCAACCGCCCAAGCAAAAACCAACCAGGTTGACAGCCTACCCTCCCCATCGAGCGTCAGAAGAAGACGCTCCTGAACTCTCGCAGCCGACCGGGCCCTTGGTGCAGCCCACGGGCTGCTCGCGTCCCTCTCGTCGCGGAAAAGTCCCAGCTTCGGCAGAGCGATGTCTCGCACCTGCCCGCGGCCGCCGTCTTCCAATCGCTCAGCGTACGGTTCAGGTCAGCGCGACACGCTTTGTCCGCAGCCATTGCGAGAGCAGCAAAGGTGGGAGTCAGACGCTCAATTACAAGCGCATAGCCCGGCACTCTTCGCCGCACTACTGGGGTAGAACGGCATCTGCGCGTCTGGAGTGTTGATGAAGGGATGCACACACAGCTGCTCGCAGATTCCCTGCGTTCAGCAATACACACATACGTAAGCATGCCAGTTAAACACTGCGGCAATCCATCCTTAACAACCAAGCACCCCGCCTACAGATCGGGCCTTAACTGACAATGCGCCCCCACCATGCAAGACATCAACCCTATCACCCCACCTTCCACCCTTTGTTCGCGGGTAAAAACTTCAGCGCACACTGCAGGATCGGTGAGCTCGACGTCCGCACGTGGGTTGACCCTGTCGCACTCGCCTCTTGCGTTGTCACGTTTGCGCTTCTTCGCCTGGTGGTTGGCCAGCGAGGCCAGCAGTGCCGTCTCCAGCCGTGCCATTGTAGCTGCCGTGTCCATCTGCATCTTGCGCAGCGCCGTCATCTCCGCCCTGGTCACGGGCGCGGAATCTGAGGCCTCCTCCTGTGTGGCGTCTTCGTCGCCGTCGACGAGCGCGGATTGACCCTTGGAAGAGCTTCGTTTGGGTCGTCGTCTGACGACACTGGGCCCGGGCCCGTCGCTGCAGGTTCTTCACGCCCTTCATCGTCCTCTAGGTCTGGGTCCCTGCTCCTCTTCCACTCCGCGCGGTGCGCGCATCCTCCTGCGACCGGGCCGTTCCAGCCTTGCGGCGATTCGACGTCGTCTCGCGCGACGAAGAGCTCGAGCCATCCCGATCAATCTCTCGCGTCGCGAGGGGGGCGTCGACGCTGCGAAACACCGACCCAGTACGTGTTAGTGTGTGCCATGTGCAATGCAGAAACCATGTAAACGACGGACACAAACACAAACAACACACATACAACGGTCAGAAGTCACGCTAGGTACCGGCGTCGCGGAAGTTTTTGCCCGCTTAGCAGGCGGCGCCCTCGGCACCGGTGGACGCTTGGAAGTTCAGGAAGCACGTAGTGCTTCAGGTGAGACGGGGTCTTGGACACACGCTGACGTTTTCCGTCCCTGGACACTCTACCGCTCTCATTGCCACTGTCCATGTTGCCTGCGGCAACCAGACAGACGATGTGCACAATGGTGCACAACCTCACTTTTTGTGCACAATCTGCCCGTCGTCCGAGATTGGCCTCATTTGACGTGGAATCCACCTACTCACCTCCGAATCTACTGCCCTATCATCGTTTGCCACCATTCCGAGCTCTGGCAACCTTACCTTTATTGTGCCCACTCACGTACCAGCGTGCTCATGCCACCGTGTATTGACCCCCCCCCCCCCACACCAAGTCTTTTGTACTCTAACAAACCAGTTGTAACAGTTACGGTGAGATACATTATTTGTAAACAAGTGTTTTCATATATCCTCCTTAACATATATCAACATGCAAAGTACAAACATTTGTCCCTAGATTGTCACTCCAAAACAACAACAGTTTCCATCGCACGCAACGTCTACCACAGATGCCTCTACTACTTTAACCAGTCAGCTCTCACACCACCTCCAAGCCACCCGTCCCATGATCCCTCCACTGCCCACTCACTACCCCTGGGCCTGCGTGCACGCAATCCCCCCCTCACTGTCTTCTCCCCCATTGTCATCCTCGCTCACCAGATCCTCATCTTCTTCAGCATCTCGAGTATCGCTATCAGCTGCCTCTGCTTTCGTTGGAGGCGACTCCGCACCTGGCTCCGGCTTGAAGGGTGTTCCTGGCAGTACACCAATGTAGTCCATGGCTTTACGCCACTCCCTCCACCTGTACCATTTGCGCTTCTGTACAAGATGCCTAACGTCATCCACGATAGCCCCCTCCAGTGCAGCCATCTCCGCATCTGACAATGACATCATCTTGGGGAAGTGGTCCTTCCGTCTGATCACAAACGCGCCAGCGGCGTACGCATACGCCGCGTCCTCCTCCTTCAAGTACCCCCAAGGCGAACCTGCTTCCCAGTTTCCGGGTCTGCAATGATTTTGACGCACCACTTCCGCACTCGGAGGTCGTACCACACCCCGGTGTACTCGCTCGTTCCCCCACGTTTCACCAGACCCCCTGTACCGCTTGCCTTCACCTTGGTGGCCCTGGTCCTTGGCATGCGGACGCCGGCACCATGACCCTTCACGGGCGTCCTGTCTGGTGTCTTTGGATTGGCAGTCTTAGAGACGTGTCCCCTTTGTTGCTCGTCGCCAGCGCCATCAGTGTACGGGAAGTTAACACTAATAAACCGGGGTTGAGGTAGTGGTGCGGGGGAGTTGTGTAGGAGTCTGGTCAGCAAACTCGACGCCGCCTCACGCTCCCAGCATCCTGTCGCCCATGCTTGACCGCCTGAGGAGTCCCGTCCCATGCGTACCCAACTCATGGGCACACGCCGCTTCCAGCTGATCCTGGGTGAACCCAAGCGCTGAGGCGATACTCATTACGGCGGCTGCCAAGAGGACACCATCCACCTCCATGCTGTTCCTATCGGGGGACAGCTGCGCCAGGTCCGTTCTGACCTCGTCCTCCGTTGGAAACAGCATGCAACCGTCGTCGTCTACACGCGCATGCGGCTGGGGCAGCACCTCGACTTCCTCCATGTACAGCTGCACAAACAGCTCCCCCCACTGCATGACTGGCCACATCCCTGCGCATGCCTCTCCTGTAGGTGCGTGATGTGACGCCGTTGCATGACACCCAGGTAAACACCGTCTTGAATCCCGTGCTGACCAGTCCGTTCAGGTACATACACACGAACACTCCACAGTCGGTGTCGTTACCCTGTTGAGGGATAACCTCCTTCTGGAAAACACACAGAAGATTGCACCAATGCATCAGTCGTCGAGCCCCGCACATCAGTGAAACGGTAAGAACGCCGGGCGGACCATACCTGAATGAGTATGCGCTTGGCGTCCTTCAAGGCCTTCATAGCGTACGGACGGTCGCCGAGCGGGCGACGAGCCTTGTGAAGTAGAAACAACATCCTGCGCCACCATAGAAACACGGATCCGATGAGTCTCCACCTCAATGGTTTTCACAACGTCCATTGTCCTGCTGTGACTGGGACTCACTTCTTCACACCCTCTATGACCTCTGGCGTCCTCGTGTGCAGCCCCTCACTGTCATAGTGGATGAGGTATAGAGGATCGCCGTCCCCCTCAGATGACATCCTCCTTGTCATAGCCCGCAGGTTCACCGCAATTACCAGAGAGAAGTGCCTCCTGTACGTACACACACAGGTTTCCACACCTCGTTAAACCATCATCATGGCGTTGAGACCTAGGTGCACATGCTGGACTGGACACGTGATATCTTCACCTCCCACCTTGCAATAGCCGGTATGGCAAGGTAGTCGAGATCGAAAACACACGGGGATCTTCCCATCGGCAACGCCCTGTTGAACTGCGTTGCGTTGACGTAGGCTTTGGTGTCCAACGGAAACCATGTCTTGCCATCCGGCAAATGCGGGCGTCGGATGTTCAGAAGTCTACACACGTACAAGGATACGGTGCACTGATGGAGGAAGATACACAGCCACAAGCGCATATATGCTCTCCTGATCCAACAAAAACGACACTCACATGTTGTGGAAATCAACGACGCTGTCCGCAAGATTCTGGCCGTCTGCCGTAGTAAGCGCATCCTGCGCGGGTCACGTGGCACCCCTGACCGTGAGGTCCATATAGGGCCAACGTCTTGAAGGCCTTTTGGTTTTCGGGAACCTGCAGACTGCTAACCAAGTCGTTCGGCTCGTCTGTATCGGGAGATGGGACGAGTTGTAGGGATTTGACGCGTGCGCACTCCGAACTCTCAGACTTCAAAATATCACGCTTAGTGTCGCTGTCTGCCGGAGGTGGTGAGTCCGTGCCAGGCCTCTTGGTACGCATCCGCTCAATCAACTCTTCCACGCCCTGAGCAAGCTTTGGAGACCCGCTGTCGTGGACGGATTTCTCGTGCTTTGTTCGCTTCGACATCGTGCGGTTGGCGCCTATGTGTGCGGGACAGTTATCTGGTGCAACTACGGACGGGAGTAGCTAATGCTCCACATGGTCGTTAGTTCTCACCTTCTACTGCCTGGCCCACCGCTGCGATGGACAGAAGGATCCGCTCGAGATCGAGATGTGCGGGAGGAAGTGGATCTGATGAGGGCGTAAGTGCGGATTAGGTCTGGTTGAGACGACAGGCAAGTTTGCCACGCGTCCGTAATATATGAGAGCGCGCCAAAAGCGAAGACTCTCGATCGGACACATGCATGGGTAGCAACGGATAGAATGATGGAGACTTTTAAGGAGTACAAATCAATGCACACCCTCGTCCACGCTTGATATTGGCTACATGGTTTGCATAAACAAAAATCAAAGGGTTGCGAGACCCTTATGTACCCACATAACGGGACGGATAGTACCGCGTGTAATTGACATTTGCGCAGAATGGTGAAATAACTGGTACGAAGTTGATGTGTCCGGGTTGTTGATTGTCGTCATAGTTGCGTGCAAGCAATACAGGGTGATGCAACATGTTAATGCGGGTGTAAGGAGCACGTTTGCACATGCGTATAGGGTAGCGCATTACAATGTTGCGTTCACGGTTTATTTAAATGCGATAACTCCGTACTGTCCGGTCTTTTAGATCGCTGGGTATTGACAAGCCAATTACAAAACCATCTAGGCGCAGCCACCCCTAAAAGCTGTTGCCACTGACGGATGAAGCGAGAGGAGAACTGTTGCACCGCAGCATAGCTCCGTCTAAGCCATCGCTGTCGCTATACCCAGGAACTGCCAGGCGCGCACCGCTCAGTCGAGCCCGCTTAGTTGGAGTGCGACGGAGCCCGTTGATGACGTCGTCGTTGCATAGACCAGTGCGCTCGAGAAAATCCCTCGGAAGAATGCCAAGTTGCGCCGCGGTACGTATATACGTCTTAGTCACGGCGCGCACTATTCGGCGGCGACTACGAGGGTCGTGCAGACTCGGCCCAGCTGCATAATCAACGGAGCGGTAATCTCCACCGCTACGACGTCTGCGACGGGAGCGTCCCGGCCGATGATGGCGAGAATGCGGGTGTCGCACGACGCGTATTCGGTGGCTTGCATCATGGCAGTATCGCCCTTTTTGAACTGGTTTATCAGTAGCTGCAGACGGACGAGTTGGGAAATGAGTGGCTCCACCGTGACACAAGTTGCAGGATAATCCGTCAGATGGAGAAGCGACCTCCACGCCATGGGCAACATCCCAGACCTTGCCCACGAGAGGTGGACAGCCCTGCAAGGGGTGCAGTCGCTAGCAGACCCCACCCATAGCAGTACGTTCTCAAAGACAATTATGGGCATTGCGCCCTTAGACAGCCACGCCGCGTCCCTTATGATGAAGTCGATGTAGCAGGACCGTAAAATGGTCTTGAACATCTCGACCACCCCTTTGAACCACGGAAGGTTGTACGTCGACACGACACCATCGAGATGAACTATCTTCGTTGACGTGAGCTCCTGCACACGAAATCCGCAGAGTGTGCTCTCGTCACATGCGGGGTCTGTGAAAGTTTAAAAGAAAGAAGAGGGTTGAACTAGCAAGAATGAGGATACAAATAGCAAACCCTAGAAGGGTTGTACTCGCTATAGAGCACCCCACTACAGGCTAGAGCACAATATTCTGACACACCCCCATAGCCAAAGTGGGGTGTAATCAGCAGAGCAAGCAAAGCAGTACAAGCTCAGGGTGGATCACAATGTCACCACACATTCTGAGCACAAGTTCAAGAAGCAATAGTTTAAAGTTTACAATTATCAGCAAAGCTAGTGGTAGTCACAACGAGCAAGTGAGGAGGAGGAGGGAGAGTGAGAGGAGAGGAGATAGAAGGCGGCGGCTGAAGCTGCAGACACACGGGCAACAGGAGTGGCGAGCACAGTGGCTACCGGACCAAGCAGCAGGAGCTACGGACCCACAGGCGACTGGCGCAGCGACAAGCTCACTGGGCTACCGGGACACCGCCCCGGACTACAGGTTGTCAGAACATATAGCTTACTTGTTTGTGTAGGCTATAGTGGGGTATCCCATAGGGGGTACAACACATTAGGGTTTCCTATTTGTATTCACTTCACTTCATAGTCATTCATCCTCGTTCTTTGTTTCCACATGGAATCAGAGCAGGTTCCCTCCTAGGGACTGCTTCTAGGGCCCACCGAACCGCGCCCCGAGGCGCGTTTTTTTTTAGCGACCCGTCGTGTCGCCCCTAGCGGCCCGTTGCGCCGCCCTTCCCCTAGCGGCTCCGCCGCCCTTCCCTAGCGGCCCCGCCGCCCTTCGATCGCGGCCCCGCCGCCCTCTGCTACGCGGCCCCACCGCCGCCCTTCGATCGCGGCCCCGCCGCCCTCGGCTACGCGGCCCCGCCGCCCTCTGCCACGCGGCCCCGCCGCCCTCTGATACGTGGCCCCGCCGCCCTTCGATTGCGGCCCCCGCCGCCCTCTACTACGCGGCCCCGCCGCCCTCTGCTACGCGGCCCCGCCGCCCTTCGATCGCGGCCCCGCCGCCCTCTGCTACGCGGCCCCGCCGCCCTCTGCTACGCGGCCCCGCCGCCCTCTGCTACGCGGCCCCGCCGCCCTCTGCTACGCGGCCCCCGCCGCCCTCTTCGGTCGCGGCCCCGCCGCCCTCTGCTACGCGGCCCCGCCGCCCTCTGCTACGCGGCCCCGCCGAGCCGCCCAGCATCAGCCGAGCCGCCCAGCAGCAGCCGAGCCGCCGCCGAGCCGCCGCCAGCCTGAGCCGCCGCCCGGGCCACCTGAGCCGCCGCCCGAGCCGCCGCTGAGCTGCGGCCGAGCCGCCGCCCGAGCAGCCCGAGCCGCCCGTGCCGCCCGAGCCGCCCGAGCCGCCCGAGCCGCCCGAGCCGCCCGAGCCGCCCGAGCCGCCCGAGCCGCCCGAGCCGCCTGAGAGCCGTGCTGCTGTTCCTGAGCTGTGTTCCTCTGCTGCTGACCTACCCGACTCTCCCAGCCCGGTGAGACTTTCAGCTGCTGCCATGGCCACCCCCAATGTTCTTACTTTTGACGCTGAGGGGAGGGCCATTGACTTTGCCGTCTGGATTGAAGACCTGCAGCTGTACTTACTGTGTGATGCGATAGATGAGGTCTCTCTCTTGACTTTGTCTCTGGCGCTGTCCCTGCCCCACCTGCTGATGCTGACTCTGCCGTTCGCTCCAAGTGGGCGACCCGCGATGCTGCTGCACGTCTTGCTGTGCGTCGCCACCTCCCTTCCTCTGAGCGTGCCCACTTTAGTCAGTGCAAGACCGCTCAGGCCTTGTACGACGCTGTAGTTGCACGCTACTCCTCCCCTTCCTCCGCTACCCTTAGCCGCCTCATGCTACCGTTTCTCTTCCCTGACCTCGCTTCCTTTCCCACTGTCGCTGACCTCGTTACCCACCTCCGTGCTAGTGACACCCGCTACCGCGCTTGCCCTTCCTGCTGAGTTCCGCGCTGCGAACCCTCCTCCCATGTACATCACTCTCTACTTTCTCGTCACCCGTCTCCCTGAGTCCCTTCGTGTCGTTAGGGACCAGTTTCTCTCTGTCTGTCCCACCACTCTCCCTGTCGACCTCCTTGAGGAGTCCCTGCTAGCGGCTGAGAAGAGTATTGTCGCTGTAGGGGCCTCTCGGGGTGACCCTCGCACCCCCATCTTTGAGGGGTGTGGTCCTTTCCCCCTGCTGCCCTCTGTCGCCTCTGCCGCTGCGGCCGACCTCACTGGTTTTGAGTCGGTCGGCGCGGCGTCTGCCCCCAGCGGCAGACGCCGCTCTGGCAAGGGCAAGGGGGGCAAGGGAGCGGGTGGAGCTAGAGGGGGCGGTGGAGGAGGCGGTGGGGGTGGCGGGGGGAGTGGGGGTGGCGGTGGGGGTGGTGGCGGGAGTGGAGGTACTGGTGGCGGCGGTGGAGGCGGAGGTGGCGGTGGAGGTGGTAGCGGAGGAGGCGGTGGGAGCGGTGGGAGCGACGGTCCTGGTGGGGGAGGTGGAGGTGGAGACGGGGGTGGCGGTGGAGGCGGGGGGTGGCGGTGGAGGCGGGGGTCGGAGTGGCTCGTCCCAGCGGAGCAGCTCTGGGGGTGGTCAGCGCCAGCAGCAGCAGCAGCAGCAGCCGCAGCAGCAGCCACAACAGCAGCAGCGCTCTCGCACCGTCCCCGCCCCTCAGCAGCTCCGTGAGTGGTACTCGCAGCGTCAGCGTGGTGGTGCGCTTGGTCCTTGCCCCTACGTTCTTCGCACCGGTGACCGTGCAGGGGAGAGGTGTGGAGGCGCCCACACAGCCCGCCGCTGCTTTGGCCGCCTGACTGACGCCTGGCGTCAGCAGTTTCCGGAGGCAGCTGAGATCCCCCGCTGGGGAGAGCTGTCTAGGGCTGGTGTAGCTATTTATGATCTTGATTTTGATGATATTCTCTCTGCTATGTATGCTGCGATTGGTAGTGATGAGGATGACTGTTACCGGTGTTTCCCGCCCGACCCGGGCATTGGTACTGCCGCGTCAGGTACTAGTGAGGCTGCTGCTCTAGGTGCCAGTGCGTCTGTGCTCTCAGGTGCTGGTGAGTCTGCCCTCTCAGGTACTGTGTCGGCTTCGGCCTCTCACACCTTCACCCTTGACTCTGGAGCGTCTCGCTCCTTCTTTAGGGACCGCACCACTCTCACGCCGCTGAGTCGGCCGGTTGCGGTGTCCCTGGCTGACCCCTCTGGGGGGCCTGTCCTGTCTCGCTTCTCCACTGTCCTCCCGTGTCCGGCGGCCCCCTCTGGCACCCTGACTGGTCTTTACCTCCCCTCGTTCTCGACGAACTTGGTGAGTGGTGCTGACCTCCAGGATGCGGGTGTCCACCAGTTCACCCCTGCTCGTCAGCGGGTGACCCACTACACGGAGGCGGATACAGGTCGCCACCTGGCTACGTTTACACGTCGGCCAGGGTCGAGCATGTACACACTGACCACTGCTTCTCCTCCAGGTGCTGAGTCTGGTCAGGTGTTTGCTGCAGCGTCCAGGTCTGGTCCTGAGTCTGCCCCCTGCTCGTGCCGTCGTCTGTCTCACGAGACCCTCCTCTGGCACCACCAGCCTTGGCCACCCCTCTCTGCTTCGGCTCAGAGGCATGGCCTCGCGAGTCCTTGTGTCTGGTCTTCCCCGGTCTCTCCCTCCCCTTCCTCCGGGCCCTGGCCCCACCTGTGTCCCCTGTGTCGAGGGGCGCCAGCGTGCTGCCCCTCACTCCTCCCAGTTTCCTCCGACAGAGGCCCCGTTGCAGACGCTTCACATGGACGTGTGGGGCCCAGCCCGCGTCCGTGGACAGGGTCAGGAGCGCTACTTCCTGCTGGTGGTTGACGACTACTCGCGTTACACCACAGTCTTCCCCTTGCGCAGCAAGGGTGAGGTCACTGAGGTGTTGATCGACTGGATCCGCGCAGCTCGTCTCCAGCTTCGGAGGAGCTTTGGCTCTGACTTCCCTGTTTTGCGTCTGCACTCGGACAGAGGCGGAGAGTTCTCCTCTGGCCTCCTGAGTGCCTACTGTCGTGCGCGAGGCATCCGTCAGACCTTCACGCTTCCGGACTCACCACAGCAGAATGGGATTGCTGAGCGCCGCATTGGCATGGTCATGGACGTCGCTCGTACGTCCATGATGCATGCGGCTGCTCCCCATTTTCTGTGGCCGTTTGCGGTCAGTTACGCTGCGCACCAGATCAACCTCCACCCCAGGGTCTCTCGACCGGAGACCTCCCCAGCCCTGCTGTGGACGGGGAAGGTTGGCGATGCGTCGGCGTTCCGGGTCTGGGGATCTCGGGCGTTTGTTCGCGACCTGTCTGCGGACAAGCTGTCCCCTCGTGCTTCTCCCTGCGTCTTCCTGGGGTTCCCCCCCGACGCCCTTGGGTGGCAGTTTTACCACCCCTCCTCTCGACGTGTTCTGTCCTCCCAGGACGTCACGTTCGACGAGTCGGTACCCTACTACCGCCTCTTCCCCTACCGCACTCCGTCCCTCCCCCCGCCCCCGCTCTTCTTGGTACCAGGTCCCCCCCCGGTAGTTCCCCCTCCCCCCTCAGGGTCCTGCCCCTTCAGGTGTGTCCCAGGTAGACGCGGTCGAGCCTGTCGAGGTCACTGGTGACTCTGGTGCTGCTGCGGGAGCTGAGCCTGGGGGTGCGGAGTCTGGGGGTGCTGAGCCTGGAGGTGCCGAGTCTGGGGGTGCTGAGCCTGGGGGTGCTGAGCCTGGAGGTGCCGAGTCTGGGGGTGCTGTGCCTGGGGGTGCTGAGCCTGGAGGTGCTGAGCCTGGGGGTGCTGAGCCTGGGGGTGCTGAGCCTGGGGGTGCTGTGCCTGGGGGTGCTGTGTCTAGGGGTGCTGAGCCTGGAGGTGCTGTGCCTGGGGGTGCTTCGTCTCGCCTGGAGCCACTCTCCCCACAGGAGCTGCGTGAGTGGTTTGCCAGGCGCTGGAGGCGTGCTGCTGGTGCTGGTGGTTCTTCGGCTGCAGAGGGTACTGCTGCTGCGCGCCCCGCCGGTGCTCGTACTGTGGGTGCTAGAGCTGCTGAGTCTGAGAGTTCTCCTGGAGCTGGTCCTGCTGAGGGTGTTGGCGCTGAGCCTGCCGTTGGCGGTCCGACTGACAGTGCTCCTGGTGCTGCGGCTGGAGGTTCTGGAGCTTCTGGTGGTGCTGCTGGAGGTGCTGCTGGAGTGGGTGCACCTGCCGGGGCTGCTGGTGCTGTTCCTGCTGTTTCTAGCGTCGCCGCGCGGCCCCGACCGTACTTCGTTCCGCTCCTGCAGCAGGTTCTTGGTCTTACACCTCCTCCTCCTCCCTTAGAGGGTCCGCAGCCTGTCCGGTCACAGCCACAGCTACAGCCTGCCTCCCCTTTGCCTGCTCCTTCTCCCTACGCTGGTCCGACTGGAGGTCTTACTGAGCGTCGTGAGCCTGCGTCTCGTCCTGTGTCGCCTGTTCGTACTGAGCGCGCTAGTGGTCGCGGGTCGCGTCAGCGTCCTCCTCCTGTCCCTGGCACACACCGGATGTCACTGCGTCCGTCCACTGCTCCTCTGCGTGCCCCTTTGCCTTCTCCTCCTGCTTCCTCTCTTCCTGCTCTTGCCGACCCGGAGTCGGACTCTCTTCGTGCTGCCAGTCCTACTGTCACGCGTCTCCTGGCTACTGCTGTCACTGACCCCTCCTTCGAGTCGTCTGCTGCGTCTGCCCTTGTCACTGAGCTTGTCGACTTGCTGCGCGCTGTCGTCTAGACTACGCTGCTCGTCTTGTCACTGAGTCTGAGTCCGCCTGTCCTCCGTCCGTCGGGGGTGAGTGTGCCCTTGGCACGGACGTCCTTGAGGACAGGCAGGAGGAGTTCCAGTGTCTGGCCGCCGCTTCACCTCGTCTCGCGTCTGTACTGCTAGCCCCTGAGGGAGACCCGGATGCACCAGACATCCCGACTCCGCGCTCTTACGCGGAGGCGATAGAGGGTCCCTACTCCTCTCAGTGGCAGGCAGCTATGGATGCAGAGATGGCTTCCTGGAAGTCCACAGGCACCTACGTTGACGCTGTTCCCCCTCCTGGGGCGAACATCGTCAGTGGCATGTGGATTTTCAGGGTGAAGCGGCCGCCGGGTTCTCCGCCTGTCTTCAAGGCGCGTTACGTGGCTCGTGGCTTCAGTCAGCGGCAGGGGGTTGACTACTTTCAGACCTTCTCCCCCACCCCGAAGATGACCACTCTTCGGGTTCTGCTGCACGTTGCTGCTCACCGGTGACTACGAGCTCCACTCTCTCGACTTCAGCACAGCTTTCTTTCAGGGCAGCCTGCACGAGGAGATCTGGCTGCGTCGCCCACCTGGCTTCACTGGGTCTTTCCCTCCTGGTACCCAGTGGAGTCTCCGGCGTCCAGTCTACGGTCTCCGCCAGGCGCCACGTGAGTGGCACGACACACTGAGGACTACGCTGGCGGCACTTGGGTTTGCTCCTTCCACTGCCGACCCGTCGCTGTTTCTGCGCACCGACACCTCTCTGCCGCCGTTCTACATCCTCGTGTACGTCGACGACTTGGTCTTTGCCACAGCTGACACTGCTGGACTCGCCTACGTGAAGTCCGAGCTGCAGAAGAGACACACGTGCACTGACCTGGGTGAACTGCGCAGCTACCTTGGCTTGCAGATCACCCGGGACAGAGCACGCCGCACCATTACCCTGACTCAGTCACACATGGTGCAGCAGGTCCTTCAGCGCTTCGGCTTCACGTACTCCTCGCCTCAGGCCACTCCTCTGCCTACTCGCCACTCGCTCTCAGCTCTGCCTTCGGATGAGTCCGTAGAGTCCAGTGGCCCGTACCCAGAGCTTGTTGGCTGCCTCATGTACCTGATGACCTGCACACGACCTGACCTCGCATACCCTCTTAGCATTCTCGCACGCTTTGTTGCTCCTGGGAGACACCGACCAGAGCACATGGCTGCAGCGAAGAGGGTGTTGCGTTACTTGTGTAGTACGTCGGGCATGGGGCTAGTGCTTGGAGGGCGCAGTCCAGTGGTCCTCACTGGGCACGCAGACGCTTCTTGGGCTGACGACCAGGCTACGCAGCGGTCGTCACAGGGTTACACCTTCAGCCTTGGTTCCGGCTCTGTCTCGTGGCGGGCTACCCGCTCGTCTTCTGTTCTCGGCTCCAGTTGTGAGGCTGAGATCTACGCTGGGGCTATGGCTGCACAGGAGTTACGCTGGCTCACCTACCTGCTGACCGACCTTGGAGAGCAGCCTCGTTCTCCTCCAGTCCTGTACGTAGACAACAAGGCCATGCTGGCCTTGTGTCGAGAGCAGCGACTGGAGCACAGAACGAAGCACATTGCTCTTCGCTACTTTCTTGCTCGTGAGCTACAGCAGCGTGGACAGCTGCGACTTGCGTACGTGGCCTCTGAGGCCAACATTGCTGATGTCTTCACCAAGGCACTTGCGCCTTGTGATCATCAGCGTTGCTGCACGCAGTTGGGTCTTGTGCCTGTCTTGCCTCACTTGCTCTCCTCTTGACCTTGCTTGTAACTTCGCATATATATACTCTTGCTCTTGTATATCTCTATATATGATCTTGCATGTGAACTGGCCTTGTGGCCTTTGAACTTGTGCTCGGAATGCGTGGTGACTTTGTGATCCACCCTGAGCTTTGCTTTGCTTTGCTTGACTGGTCTTGTGACCCCTTGTTCTCCCCCACTTTGCCTATGGGGGTGTGTCAGAAC